TAAACCGATTTCGAAAACTCATAAGTGGATTCGGCAGTCCTTAGGTCGAGTGAAAGCCACATATTCTTTATCGCTGAAGTATCTTTGCTTCATTTCACCCCCTCCCCTTACTTTATCCCCCCGATTTTCGTCATTCTTTCCCTGATTCTCCCATTTAGTTCACATTCCTAATCAATGCAGATAGTGCTTAGTACTCCCGATTAGTGCATTTCACGGGCCCAAATGGGCTTATTACTGTTAACTTTATTAAATATAGTTTAGATGCGATGTTACCTACCAACATTTGACAGAAAATTAGCAAAACTGTTTGCGTGGTACACAGAAAATTATCTCGTTGATCACTATCCAGTGTTTATTGCCTTGCCACTTTTGCTTACGGGTTTCTTGGGAATTGGCTTTATCTGGATCAAAGAACTGACATTGCTCAATGCTCGGAAGCTGTATACGCCGGTGTCCGCGCCAGCCTGGAAGGAAGAAAGGATTATGCGTGAAGTAAGTCAGTTTATTTGAATAGAGATTTTAAAAAGCGGTCATTCCAACCTCAGTTCATAACAGCTGAACAGCTGTAGCTTTTTTCGACGCTGAATTTCCAGGTGATTAACCTGCTTGGTCAGAAATTGAAAATTCAATCGATATTTTATGGCCTGTTTGCTTCAAGTTTGGTGCAAAAATGTATGATCGCATCGGCAAGCCTGATGCGTTCCATCTTAGGGTTGACATTTTGAATATCTGACTCGGACAGTTATCGCTATGGACTGCATTTATTATTGCTAGTTTCCGTAGTTCCAACTTTGAATTGTGTCAGTCGGACACGCACGTACACACACGCGCACACACACATACATATATGCACAAAAATACAAACATATACGACCTCGTGTTGGGGCGCTCTTGCTTCGTTAATTAATAATACAATAGGAGGGGAAAAAATCGGAGACCGTACAAAAACCGGTCATCGGTCCAAGATCAAAGGGTCATCTTAATATTATATCTCCTTGGTCATTCCATACTTTCTGGCACATTTTGTGCACTGGTCTTCTTCATTTGAGTTGGTCTCCATCGTATTTACAAATGTTTCTTTACATATGCAGCCTTATCCAGTGTCATTCACTGATTTGTGATACCGATATTGTTAGCCTGGCGGTCTTGATGTTCTAGGACTCAAATACGCTTATATAATTACAGTTATGGCCTGTACGTATCAACGAGTTTTTACCTGAGAGAACTTTCGAGTGGAATCGTTACCTGTATGTGGTGGTGCATGGACGCCAGGATACAAATGGATCATTTCCGAATATTCTGGAAGGCGATTATTTGAATGCAACCGAGTATCTTGAAAATAGTATTGCTCAAAATGTTTCATTTGCAATGAGGGATCAATGGCGAACGAATGAAACGGAAAAATTTGCTGATGAAGTACATTTTCAGGTGAGTTAAAAAATTTCAAAAGTCAAAATTCCCTTGGTGGACAGTGTTCCTAAATAACAGAGCATTCGCAAATAGCCTGAGTGGTAGCAAGTGCCAACAGCAACTGCCCAACAGCAATTGATGGGTTCCGATTTCGAGGATTACTCACAAAGAAAATTATGATCGTTGAAGTCCCATGACAAGTCGGCAGCATTTTTCCCCTGCCAACTTCTATTTCTTTCCTCCGTCCTCCCTCCCCCGCCGCCTTTTTCTCCCCCTTATCTCCCCCTTTCCCATCTTGCCACTCCCTCGTCGCCGGTCTCGCAAATACATGCGTATTTGTAAATTTAAGTAGATTCCAAATCTAAATCAGTGTCGGAATGGCCAAGTGAACTTCAGAAATTCAAAAATCGTTGATCCCGAAAAAGAGCAAGGTTTCAGGATCTCTGTTTAAACTGGTACGGCGAATGTTATCGTCAGACCGGCCTGATCAAACTGCTGCAAA